GAAAAAGGCCCAATAAGTACGAAAGCGGACAACTCAGTTTTCTTTTGAATAAGAAAAAGGCTTGTCTGGTTGGAAAATGAACCTTTAATAAATAGCGCATAAAGCATCGTGAACGCAGCACATGGATCCGACCTACTTATCTAAGAACAGGCGTGGCTGCCTGGGCGTACGGTATGACATTGGGTTGCGAGCCCAAGAAAAGAAAGAAAAGCACTCCGATGCAATCCAACTTGACTTTGCCGCTAGTACCAATTCCAGCCCAGAGAATCACACATGGAGTCCAAGCATTGGTTGTAGGACTACTTTATAAACTTTCTCAGCATTTTTCCAGTGCTTTTTCTTTCTCCCTTTCTGGGAGAATATCCAGATCACGACTGCAGTGACAGACGGCGATGGCGGGGGACGGAATTTTTAATACGACTATTCGATTTGATCCAACTTGACTAATGTGATTTATGATAATTAAAAATTAAGATAAAATCTTTTTATTGTTTAAATTTTGATTGAAATTATTAAAAATTTATTAATGTTTAAAATAGATATTTTATTCAAAAAATATTTTTTATTAAATATTTAACTACAGTTATTAATTAATTATTAATATTTTCATCAATTTAATGATGTGATAAAAATAACAAGATAATTTTATTTTTAATTAATGTTTAAAATTATTATAATTTTATTAATTAAAAAAAAACCTTCTCAAATGAGGAGCATTGATTTGCTCTCTTTTCTTGAGGAATTGAGGAGCATCTTTTAATTTTTTTTAAAAATATGATAATAATTTTTAAAATTAATAAAAAAAATTTTTAATTTTTTTCTAATATTTGATAACGGTATTTGTATTTTTAAAGTGAAATACTTATTTCAAAAAATAATGAATTCGCTTTGAAATTTTGACTTAAATTTAAAAAGATGGAGATATTTTACCTTAAAAATTAAAATGAATAGGTTTTAAATAATAAAATTAATATTGGATGCGATTTTAGAGAAAGCTCGAGTTTATGAGTTAATTATTTATACTCGAAATTATTTATATATTAGTCGACTCTGACATGAATATTGGTATAAAAATCATTTAAAATCTGTTTAAGGTAAGAAAAACAATTTAAATTCCTACCACTGTCATGGTTTGCATCTTTTATAAATCCATCCACTCTTATCAACCAAAGAGAATAAGTTATAATTTTATTATTATTGGACAAAATAATGTATATATAAATAAGTGCATGATTTTTGAGTATTGAAATTATAAAATTTGACAAAATAATATATTTGATTTTATGGTTAATATTTTGTTTCATATTTAATTGTTTTTTTTATTGAATTTTTAAAAGCATGTTATCAATGTTGAGCTTATTTTACAACATTGATGAGTTCTTTTTTATTGTTTTAATGTACTATAAAATTGAATTTTAACATTCAGTCGAATTAGGTTCGAGATTTTAATGGAATATTCATCGCATATCAGTAATTGATTTTTAATACTTCAATAATAAGCAATTTTTTATTTTAAAATATTTCAAAATAAACAAATACCATACTTGCTCCCATTTGTATTTTGAGTCATGCATGAGTAAGAAAGCATTGTCTGAGTTACTTTGAATCGTGCTCGACCATGTTTGATACTTTAATCTTTCACCTATTTGTAATAAAAAACTACATAATTATATTTTATATATTCCATAGTTCGGAAGGGACAAGTACAGTTTGGGATTTCATTTTCCCAACCAAAAAGCTGATTATTCTATAAGCAAACCACAATTATTGCTAATTAACCATTGGATGAATTATTATAAAAGCGGAGATGTGACTTTGTTCTTCTCAAGAATCTCGAATTCTTGCACCCCAAAATGTTAAAACATAGAAGTAATTATAGGTCACCTATAGAACTATGTGAAAAGGCTCACATAATCACTTTCTCCCTATTTCATTTTAATGAAAGATAAAAGATTAATATTTGATTCATTGACAATATATAGCTTTTATATATTGTCAAATTACTAGATCTTGATGTATTCGAGTATTTAACTTATTAGTTAGTATATGATCGTCTGCTTAAAAAGTAGAGTTCGAATATCAATTCTCCCAATTAAAAAAAATTACTAAATCTTGACACCTCATTATTTTGAAAAAAATAAAAAATTAATAGTAAAATCGAATACCATTTTAAAAATTTATTATTTTGAACAAAATAAAAAGTGTATATCTTTTTTTGCTTTATTAATGAGATGTCAGGATGTGGTAGCTTGACAGTGTATAAATACTATATAGTGCTGATGCATCAAATATTAATTCAAACTATAATTATCATATTACTCCACCAAGCCATGATATTTTGTAAAATATTTTTATTTTTTTGTTTAAGCTTTTTCAAGTCTCAACAAAATTAAAGTAGGCTCTTTTTGGAAGTGGTCCACCTCGTTTTTCACTATACTTGGAATTTAATCGATGTCGAATAACCCATTAAATAAAATGTTCCATTAGTAACATATTGTGATCATTAACCGAATCATGAGAAGCCTTTTAGAATAATTAAATCATTATTGATAATTAATGATTTTATTGCTTTCATTTGGTCCAAAAAGCTAACAATTTTTCGACCTTAGCTCATATATCAATATAATACTACAACTAATTATTCAAATATTGAAATCCAAAAATCATATCCCTTAATTTATATATGTTGTAATGATTCAGATTCAAATATTACTAATTTAATAATTTTTTAAAATGAAATCACACTATTTTAAAGAATTTAAACTCAAATTGTTAATAATAATTGATTCAGATCCTTAAATAAATCATAAAATATATTATTATCAATTTATATATATATATATATTTTAAAAAAGATATTCGAATTCATACTTTTTAAGTAAAAAAATCATGTATTAATTAATGAGTCAAATACTCAAATCCATTATCAATTTATATCTAAGTGAATTTATAAAAACTAAATATCTAAGTATTTGTTTTCTATCATTTTCAGAATAAAAAGGGGATCCAAACCCATACAACATTTACTTATAGGCTGGTAATTACTTATGGTAGTACTATTTAAGGGAAAAGTTCCAAGCGTTGCTCAGCCATAGCACTTGCTTTTTTTTCATTTGAGAGAGAGAGATAGGGATGGAGAAGAAGCTAACAGCGTTAAGCCATCTTTTCGTGACGGTTTTCCTGTCAGGTTTCGCATCCTTCATTGTGATTCCGGCCATTACCGATGTTACCATGTTCGCCCTTTGCCCTGGTACTGATGAATGCTCCCTCGCCATTTACCTCTCTGGATTACAACAAGCTGTACGTTTTTTCCTCAACTCTTTAGTTTTCCTCTTCTCCTGCTATCCTCTTCATTTTTTTTAACCCTGAAAATTCTGGGCTGTTGCATTCCTTGCCATTTTCTTTGTTCTTAACAAGAACAACAAACAAAAAATAAAAAGAGAAAACTCTTTCTTCTTCTTGATCCTCTCTTCTCAAAAAACGGAATATGAGAGAGAGAGAGAGAGGTTCATGGTTCTTCTGTTACACTAGAACATGCAACTCTACTTCCCATCTTAGATACACGTACGTGCCTCCACAACTGCTTCAATTTCAGTGCTAAAGGGTTCCGGAATCCGGGGAATGTATCCTCACTCCTTGTCAATCTCATTTTCGCGTCTTCCAGCATAGAGAAATTAGGAATAAATTATGAAAACCCATTTTTTGGCAACAAATTAAGAACCCTTTGATTCTCACGATCACTCCTAGTGTACAATCCTACTATATTAACTTTTTTGACTTTCCCTCCTCTGGGGTTTTCACTGTTCACCTCATTCTCTTCGATGTTAATTTATGATAAGGTAGTACATGTGGAGAAGTATGGACCTTGCAAGGTTTTTTCTAGTTGAGTGACCATATGGATCACCATCGTACCTACCGTTCAAATCAAACCTAACAAATATCGGGTGCTTTTTCCTTTTGGGTGATATTTTCCATGGGGTTATTAATGCTCAAGTTGTCCCTTCTAAGCAAACAGATTCCCAATTCTTGCATACTGCCATATTGGATAATTGGTAAGTGTACAAGCGATTTGTACATGTCTCATTCCTATGCACACAAAGACATCACAATCGCACAAACATTTGAATTTGTTGGTCACTCGAATGTGACTCTGTTGCGTGACTTTTGAGGAGAAGGCAAGACCTAATTATGAATGAAGCAACTTGCCACAGTGTGGACGAAGGGTCATGTTAACTTGTCGATTTCATGTTGTCCACTTACAATTTAATGTTAGTGCCCTTTGCAGTTTATCTTTAGACGATATTTCATTGCAAAAAAGTTACTAAAATATTTATAGAAAAAAGAGGAAAAGGCGGCTTAGATTTTCTGCCCTTGGAGTCTATTAATTATACAATATATAATTAATATAGTAGCAATTTTGATTATATGCTATAAAATTTTAACCCTCTATAGTTTGTTAAGCCATGTCACACATACACCCAAAAAATAAATCATGTCAAATGGTGTTATGAATCAGGATGATATTTTTTTTAATTAATAAAAAAATTCAATACCTTTTTGGGTCAATAATCGTAAAAAAAGAAAAAGGAAGAAAAACCCATTGTCATAGTTGAAATTCATAGTAAAATATCAGGAATCTTAGATATGGGTACCAAAGAATCTGAATTCCTCAAAGGATAAGATTGGGTTCTAGCCCAAAAGCACAGTTTGAAATAATTTAGCGAAGAGTTAATTGAGTAATTGTTCATTATTATCAGCATGATTACATAAATATCTTCCAGACGAGGTGCCATTAAGCGCTTACTTGTGACTGGGTCTGGTGTGATGCAGATGATAGGACTAGGGACGGCCTTGATGATGCCACTGATCGGGAATCTGTCGGATCAGTACGGAAGAAAAGCTCTGCTCACATTACCTATGACTTTGTCCATTATTCCCCTTGGTATGAAATCGAAATAGGAACAGTAACTGGTGTTTCATGACTGCTTTCCATCATTCCATGGTCCTATCTTTGGTCCAAAACATGTTTTTTTGTAAGCTTCCATGCATCCATGGCATGCTTGTCTTGTGCCTATTGGTATGGGACCAATGGGTTAAGGGGTGACAAGTCACCTCATGATTACTTCATTTTCCAACGTAACCTGATTAAGCATTATCAGGGATTGTACCTTGAATCGGGTTGGAGCAGAGAAAAGTGTTGGTTGACTTTTTCAACGGATGCCTTCCGGCATGTCGTTAACAGGGTGATGTGGAATGGGGTTCACCATTGACGTGTGCATTAAGCCATCTGCTTTAGTTTAACTTCTCTGTGCTATTTTACGTTCTCTTTTACTTGAATATTCGCATCCAATTTCTCATTGAGCAGTTTGAGTTGAGTCCTTGTCACTTTTGTGCTGTTCACTACCCCTTTGCTTCCCATGCGAGCATTAAGGTACAAACTTCTTTATGAAAAGTTGTCACATCTTGATCATGTTACTGCCGTTGCCTTTAAGAAACTGGCAAAGGCTAGAGTCCTGCTTTTCATTTTCCTTTAAACCAATTGCAAAATCTTTAAAGTTAACATGACTATCTTCTTGCAGCTATATTGGCATGCAGCAGAACAACCAATTATTATTATGCCTACTATGCACTCAGGACCCTCACTGCCATGATCTGTGAAGGGAGCATTAACTGCCTTGCTCTTGCATATTTGGTAATAACCCTGAATCATCCTTAACTGCTTTGTAATCTTGGAAGCAAGCACATATTCTCCGGCATCATACTTGATTCAGTGTTGAACTATTAGTGAATGAAGTGCAGGCCAGTTTTTAACATATCGGAAGGCATCCTTCTATTCCTATAATAGGATATGATACTCCTAACCCCTCTGACTATTAGTGACATCTTATATCAATCCATTCTAAAGCACAGACAAAAATGACTTTAGGAAGAGTTGACTATATGCATTAGATTAACAAAAACACCACAATATTTACAGAAAAGAGGTAGAGGCTTAGGTTGCAGCCCTAAAACTGAAACAGAGGTGTTAGAATCCATGCTTGGCTTTACCAAATGTATTATATTTTAGCTGTTTACACTTTTATTTGCTAAAGTTGTGGTCTTTGCTTGGCAGGCAGACAACATTTCAGATAGCCAACGGGCATCTGCATTTGGAATCCTTTCAGGAGTAAGCTCGGGTGCATTCGTCTGCGGAACCTTAGCAGCTCGTTTCCTCTCCACTGGTTCCACATTTCAGGTTTTTCCTTGAGCCTTGTCTAGAACCCCTAGACTGTATCTTTGTTCATCATTGTATATCAAAATTTTTGCTACAATTTTTTGTTTTGTTTTGATCCTTTCAGGTTGCTACGTTTGTATCAATGCTTGCAGTAGTGTACATGAGAATGTTCCTTGAGGAAAGTATACCTGATCAAGTTGATGGAATTTCACAACCAATCCTGCAAGAAGGGGAAGATGTCATTCAAAAGGATGGTAATGCACCTAGAAAGATGCCAGTATTCAGGAAAATTCCATCCGTGGGAGATATTATTAGCTTGTTGAAGAGCAGGTAAGGTTTGCTATATATTTCCCAGCACTTTGGTGGTCAAGTGAGCTCAATTATGGTCTAATGCAAATTGAGTTGCGCTCATTAGACTATGCTGATTCCCCCAGCCCTGGCCAACCTTTTTGAATGGAAAATTTTCAGTAAAAAACAAATTTTGAAAGAATTAAGGGAAAATTTTGAATAAATAAAATTTGTGAAACTTCTTTTAACTAGTTGTGATATGGTATATCTGCAGCACTTTAGACATTCACGAAGAATCTTCAGATCTTCTTTGCTTAGAAGCTTTGTAATAAGTACTTATCGAGAAGTTTTCTTCCATCAACTGAATTATAAAAAGGAGATCAGAATGAAAATAATAATCATGCAACCTTGTGAATATATATATGTATATTTATCCATCCCACTATCAAAAAAGAAAAGAAATCCATCTCAAGGACTAGTAAAATTAAGCTATCAATAGCCGTGTAGATTCCTTTAAAAAGTGAATGCATAAGTTGTTTTCATGGCCTTATCCTCAAAATAATTTGATGTACTTGTATTATTACTGTTTGAGAGATGATTAATGAAGTTATGGTTGCAGTCCATCATTTTCCCAAGCAGCAGTTGTTGCTTTCTTCAATAGCCTTGCGGAGGGTGGGATGATATCTTCATTAATGGTATGACTTCCTTCTCTAAGTGTGAACCTTTACCAAATAGAAAGTTTAAACAAGATTTTTTTTTTTAATCTCATGATGATCCAAATATACATGGTTGAAAATGACAAAAATCAATGATTCAACAGCCAACAACTCTTCAAATCTTTTATTTTTTCCAGAAATGGCAGCTAATGTTTCTTGTAACACCTAAGAGCAGTTTATGAAGCAGAATAGTGGTAATCAAATGGTTACAGATTTATCAAAAAATTAAGATATGAAAAGTGGTTGTTTAATAAACTGATCAAATTGTCTGTTCAAGTTTATGCTTGTGCATACCACATCCTCAAGTACAATCTTGTGATCAAAGAGATTAAGGTCTCTTATGAAAAATTTTCTACCATGCAGTACTATTTAAAAGCCCGTTTCCACTTTAACAAGAACCAGTTTGCTGATTTGATGCTAATTGCTGGAATTATATCAACGATTTCACAGGTATGTTTTATTGATGCATGGTGCATTTCTCATACTATTCGATTTTCTCATTTTTGGTTTATTGTTTTATGCTTCTGAATCCTGCAGTTGTTTCTCATGCCCTTATTGGTATCTCCCTTAGGGGACGGAAAGTTGCTTTCAATAGGACTCTTGGTCAGCTGTGCAAACGTAAGAGTTGTATTCTCACCTGCTCTACCCTTATTATTACTCCCTCTGATATTTAGTCCTTGCAAGCCGATGACATTGTAACCATGTCACTGATGAATTTGCACCTGGTGTTATGCAGGCCATTCTTTATAGCATAGCCTGGTCAGATTGGGTAATTTGCTTGCTTCATTTTTCTTTTACTACTAGACTACTAGATCAGCAGAAAAAATTCTTGTTCTGTCAGTTATGTCGTTAGACACAGAAGTAACCTCAAAATCAAAGTTATGTCACCTGGATTTTCGGAACAAGGTGACATGGCAACTGCCTTGAGGAAATAAAAATCATCATATCAGATAAAATGGAGAAGTTAATAGCATTACTTTTAAAGTTGAATGTTGATTGAGTTGTGTTTACAAATAATGCTTTTGCACCAAAGGTCTCTATTAGCAAAAATTAGTACCAAGCTTTGGGAACTGTATTTATATTTCATTACTCTAAATGATTTGATATTTGCTTCTGAGTATGCCTTTCTGTATGTAACTTCGGGTGGAAAGACATTTTCATGCAGGTTCCATATGCAGCTACTGCATTGTCAATAGTGATGGTCTTTGCACCACCATCTGTAAGTTTTTTTACTTCCATCTCGTTGCAAGCTTTGTTCTGTTAGCTGAAACACTATGTCTGTTGATTGAATTTTATTAATTATGCAGCTACGCAGTATTGCATCAAAACAAGCTGGCGCCAGAGAGCAGGTAATTCTAGCATATTGGATCTTCACTCTTGCTCCTTTCTCCTGTTTCAATCCTCTTCTTCATGCATAACTTTAATTGATCAAAACACATTATATCAGGGGAAGGCTCAAGGATGCATCTCAGGCATAAGTTCCTTGGCCAACATCATTGCTCCATTAATCTTTAGTCCTCTGACAGGTGTGTAAAGACTGGTATTTTCGTCCCTTTTTCCAAAAATTTCCCTTTTATTGACAAATGTCATTGACCACTTCTCCTTCTGTTCATACAGCATTGTTCCTGTCTGAAGATGCACCATTTCATTTTCCCGGCTTTAGTATTATGTGCATTGCGATCACATTGGTATGAACTTTTACCTAGTAAGCTACTATATGTTGTCAATAAACTTCTCATGTTTCAACATTGAACATATTGATTATCCATGCTGTTTGACCAGCATCAGCACCTGCAACAGTTAGTCACATTGCTAAAAACCCTTTTCTGGTTATAAGTTCTGCATTCATCAACAGCAACTAATTTGCCAGAGCAGCCTAAACCCGTCTTTAAGAATGCCAAAGCGAATAGGATATGGAGATTGAAAAATGTTAATAGGGCAAAAGCTATTAATATAACTAAGATTGATCCAGTCTTCTATCTGTCAAAAACTGAACTTTCATTTGACATAAGTAGAAAATCACTAGAGCAGAATGATCCTGCTGATAGCGTAATACCTCCATTTAATCATTGTTTTTATCTATCACTTGCAGCTTCATTTCTTATGTAACTAAAACGAGTTTTTTTTTTTTAACAGATGATTGCCTTCGTTCAGAGTTTGATGATAGGAAGTGCTCCTTCAACTTCAAGGGACAAAAATAGCAGCAATTGCGTGGAGGTTTAGTAGTAATGATATATACTAATTAGTAGAAGATGAGCGTCTCGATTGTTGCAATTAAATACACTCAGTCTGTAACTATGTAGCACGCAGATGCTCCAATGTTCTTAGCCTGGCAAAAGAGTAGCAAAGGCGATGTTCAGTTCGTCAATAAGATTAGTTGACCCTTTGGGAGGTTTAATTATAGAAACAAAATGTAAGATTAACTATAAGTCATATATAGCCAGGGTGGGTTCTCTCAGTGAAACAATTCCCACAAACATTTCAAATTATTACTCTTAGTGTATCTATAATTTCATTTCAATTCTGTCTGGACTAATGTGCAATTCAAGCACTGCAGTGTCATGATAATTATCAGGTTTTTGTCAAGTTTATCAGCTGATCAGCTGCAGTGTCATGAAGTAAATTGCAGTTCAATTTGCAGATTATGATATTCTGGGGTTTTTATCTCAAGTTTAAAAACCTTTTATTTTCTCACATTTTAACATATGTTAACAAACTTTTATAAAATGAATCAAAGGTAGATCAATACAGCCATTCCTAGTGTGTTGCTGGTAATTGCTCAGGTTCTTTTTCTTAGTGCAAGGCATGATCTTTTCTTGGAAAACATTGTTGGCATGCCCAAAATAGTGTATAATTAATTGTATTTCCATGCAAGCGTAAACGTAGAGAACAAGAACATTGAGCTCACAACTGTTTCTTGTTGAACATTAAACATGTTTAGTTGTGGGTTGTGTTTTTCTCCTTTGTATCAATGCTGTAGAAAAATGTTGAGAATTGAAACTACATTGGGTATGTTTTGGCACCATAAGTCTAGGGTGCTTTTTTGGAGTTAATAGCTGCAAGGAGATTGGGATTTGCTTAACGTTACGTGCTGCAGATGAAGGCATGGAGCATTATGGCTCCTTTTTTCAGATGGAGCGGCTAGAGGAAAACCGGGTCCGGGAGGAAACATACACATTCATCCCAATGAGCCTTAACTCAAGTGCTTCACTGTTCTGCTACGACAATAAGCCCAACAAATGACCCCAGCATTAACAGACTTCCATTCCAGGCTAATAAAACCTTGCTTCCCCGGCGCATAACCCGCTCAAGTCTCGTTCACATTCCAAATCTTGAGTGCTCTAGTGAACCTCCTCCAGTAAATCGTTTTGGTCTGAAACTTCCTTCTTTTTCGCTAGAGCGTCTGCCACTTCCTTTCTTTCTCTGGGAATATTGTATATCTGCCACACTCTCAGCTTTTTCTTCATATTTTCTATCTGTAGCATCATTTTCTCATAGCCCAAGGAGCAAGGACAGGGTCTTTGAATCATCGGCCAACATTACTAGAATCAGATTCTATAATCAGGTTGCGAGTTGCGGCCCCTCTACCGCCCACGGTTTCGCAAGGTTAGAGTCCATTAATCCCACTGCCTTCGAGAAACGAATGAGACTCGTCATTCTCGTTCCTTAACACACGTCCAACACCCGCTTGTTTCGATTCCCCACGAGCTGCTCAATGACATTGAATTTAGGAATCTGAAGGCAGACTCATTCTCTGTGGGTCATAGAGCTTGCACCCAAGTAGCGACCCGCAATCTGGAGTTGTCAAAGACCTGATCTACGTCCCACACTTTCTCTTCAAACACTATTTTGTTCCGCTTCAACCAAATTGTCCAACATGTCGCAAAGAACACCATTGTCCATATTCTATGATTGCCTTCCTTGACACAGACAGTATTTGACACCATCTGGCCCAAACAACCTAGGAATTCTCACAAAGAAAGAAAAGATGCGGAACAGACTCACTCAGCTTTTTACACCATGGACGTACAGCTGCACCACGCTGAACGTAATTCGTCTTTGACCTGCAGAAGTTGCCCACAGAAAACCTCGAGCTTATACGAGGCAAGTCCAGCTCATACAAGTTTTCAAAAGATAGATGTGTTAACATTTCTCTGCACATGACTTTATCTTCTTTCTCTCCCCCGACAACATATTCACTCAACAGCCGACATCTGTTCTCCCACTGGCCCAACTCCCATTCAAAGAGATCTCTCCTTAGTTAAATTTTCCAATTCCAACGCTCCCCCACCCATTCCCCATATTCACACACCCTCCCATTTTTCTTCCTCTCGTGACTGTCATAGCTATGGATGACGCGGAAAGCAGAGAAAGCATTGTGATGTTCCCATTCATGGCTCATGGTCACCTCAATCCTTTCATGTCATTTGCAAGGCAACTAGAGGCGAAGAAAAGGCTATGCAGTCACCATTGTCAACACCCCTCTTAATATCCAAAAACTGAAATCTTCACTCCCTTGTAAAACCAACATACACCTAGCAGAAATCCCCTTCAATGGGACTGAGTATGGACTCCCACCAGAAGCAGAAAACACTGATACACTTTCTTATGAGTTCATAGTTCGTCTCATGGAAGCCTCTGAATATCTTGAATCCCCTTTCAAGAACCTAATCCTAAACATCGCAAAGAAAGAAGGGAATTTTCCTGTGTATTATCTCTGACATGTTCTTGGCATGGACAGTCAAGGTTGCCGATGGGCTTGACATATTTCATTCGGTTTTCGTAGCTGGGGCTGCTTACAGCATGGGCATTTACTTTTCCCTCTCATCGAACACAAACCAACGCGTTACTGAAGAGGAATTCTCACTGCTTGATTTTCCTGAAGCAGCAAAACTTCACCAATCACAACTTGGGACTGATCTCAAGTATACAGATGCCATCGCATCTCTGTTCCGTTTTCGTGAGCGCCAGTTCTTACTCTGCTTACGCTCTGATGCTATATTGCTCAATAGCATAAAGGAGTTGGAACAAATTGGTGCAAAATATTTTAGCAGGAAAACGGGAGGGAAGCCCGTGTGGATGGAAGGACCAGCCTGCTCAATTGCTAAGAAGGATGAATCTACGCAACAAGGCACGTTAACAAAGAGACTCTCTTCAAATTTTAACGACTTGTCTTCATGGCTAGATGCCCATCCACCTGGTTCAGTTCTGTCTGTGTCTTTTGGATCGCATAGCACCATCTTAGCTTCACAACTGAAAGAATTGGCGATGGGCTTAGAGGCAAGTGGCGTAGGTTTCATTTGGGTCATTAGGCCACCCCTTGGCTTCAACGTGACAGAAGAACCCAAAGCTGATGAATGGCTGCCTGATGGGTTCGAAGAACAAATTAAGAAGAGTAAACCAAGGCATTTTGGTCCGTCAATGGGCTCCCCAAGCAGAAATTCTCTCGCACAAATCGACAGGTGCCTTTCTTAGCCATTGTGGTTGGAATTCAGTGCTGGAAAGCTTTAGCCATGGGGTACGCATCATCTGCTGGCCGTTGGCTGGAGAGCAGTTCTTCAACTCCCACCTGCTGGAAAAGGAAGTAGGTGTTTGCTTATAGGTTGCTCGAGGGGTTGAAACCGCAGTGGTTCAGCGGGATCATATTGCAAGAACAATCAGCTTGGTCATTGGCAAGACGGTTAAAGAAGGGCTAATGAGGTGGCCGGTCCGTGAAATTCAAAAGAAAATGGAAGATGCAATCCTGGAAAGGGGAGATTCCAAGGGATCGTCCGTTAAGGCCATGGATGAATTCCTCCTTAGAGCAGCAATAGGGACAAAGAAAAAGCATTCTGTAAATTCAGAGGAAGTAAGGAATGGAACTGAATACTAATTTCATTTCACCAAAGCTACTTCTTAATAATAAACAAGGTAATCCTTATGAACCACACTCGTCGAGAATTTCTCAGCAATAAAGAAATCAACACGGTTTTCACATCTACAGCATGCAGAGTCTTTTAATGAGAAAAGCATGTAGATTCTATGAACGCAGAAAGGAAAATAAAGCCACAACCTTCAGAATGTTAGAGAAAGCAAACAGGTGAAGGCCAGCTGCTCTCTCGATGTTAGAAAAATAGTTAATAAATGAGGCATCCTGATGTTAGAAGACATCATGATATACACGCATGCATCATATAGTACACTAACAAGTGATAAATAAACAGCAGAATATTATGGCCACATAAAAAAATAAATAAATGAGAAAGAAATTAAATATCTAATAAAAGAAGCAGTGGACATAAAATTTGTAAAACGCCACTCAATATAGTTTTGACTTAAGCCCTATGTTATGTACAATTATTAAACAGGGTTCCCACAACATGATCATTCAACTAAAGAAGTCCTCCGGACCAGAGGCATTCCCTCCATCTGAAGAAGCATCACTATTGGCATTGAATGTCCATACAAGATCTAGAAGTTCCCCTCCCGCTGCTGATGAGTTTTCTCCATTCCGCTCTGGGCTACTCCCCCACCTTGGCAGTGAAAATAAGTGCAACATCAGGTCCTGCGGCGTAGTTACTCGATACATCCATCCCCTAGGTTTTGGTTTGAGCTGGACACAGAAAGTGCAAAATTACAATCATCGTTAGTTATTAGCATCATAAACTGACAAGAAAGTTTTTAGCTTTGTCATTGCTATCATCAACATCATTATCACCATCATTGTTGCAATCACTATCGTCACCACCGTCAACATCTTCATAGCCATCATCGTCATCGTCATCATCATTGTCATCATCTTCCTCATCATCAATTTCATCATAAACATCATTGTAATCATCATCAATGTCATCCTCCTCATCGTCGTCCTCCTCATCGTCATCATCAATACCAATAAAATTATTATCATCATCATCATCCTCGTCGAATGCAGCAAAGGACAACCAACGAAAGAGGGCTGGTTTTGGAACCTTTTTCAAAGAAGTAACGGCAGAGAGATCAGCTCCTCTGCTTCTCATACATCTTTAGAATGGATATTGCCAACCAATCCGTGTGAATTACGCAATTAAGAACAGCAAGCCTGTGTTGGCATTAAATAAAACATTCCTGGGATTCCCTAAATTGTAAGCTACCTTGGCATCTAAAATACATGTCAGATTTCATTTCATTCGCAGAATTCCTAGGAGTACATGAATATTTTAGAATGCCAGGATGGGTGGATTGAAAGAGACCACACAATAGTTAATCTGAAAGAAACATTAAACAAGAAAAGCTGACTAAAAGCCATTGGAGCTCAGGTCACTACATCTCAAGTCCAAATCTCAAACCTTCCCTCCTATCACAACAGAATTTTTTTTTAAAAAAAGAACTGAAGTACCAAAGCCACATTGTAACAGGCACTTCTATATCTTGAACCAACTCATAAATACTTGCTTCTATTGGAGGAGAGATAAACAATATGGAAAAAGGGTGTGGGCTCTTTCCACCGTTTTGTCCTAGCATCACACAGCATGTTGATGAGGCAAAACGCATTTGATGTCTTAAGCTAGCTTATTTATAACCCAAAAAGTAACACTAGTGTTATTCTTTTTTTTTTTTCTTCTTCAAATTTTTGTTT